GAGAACACAGCCATTCTCCGTAAGGGAGGGAGACGGGCAGGTCCACGTTCTGCTGAGGGGGGGCGAGCGGGAGACTCTCCAGTTGTAGCTTTCCAGCAATTGGGCACTTGGAGACCCCTCCTCGCAGTGCAGCCGAGAGAGCTGCAGAACATGCGAAGTGTTAACTCAAATGTCCGCTTAGCAGCAGAAGTACATACGTCTTTGGAGCCAGAAAAGGCAGCGACGGAGGTGGGCCTGGGCGCACTTTGTGGTTTTGCCCTGGGAGACTGAGACAGTCTCCGTGAGGGGCCCCCACAGCCTCCCTTTCCTCCACCCTGAGCAGAGCCTTCTGCACCTGCAGTCCGTGTTTGGTGCCATCCATGAAGCTCCGGGCTCTGTGATCGCAGGACAGCAGCTCATGGCGACCGAGCGAGAGGCCCCAGCCCCGCATCAAAAGGCCTCGCCTCCTCAGTGCAGGCCGCAGCACAGCCACTGCATTCAAGTAATGATGCTAAACAGAGAAATCTCCCAAGCAGCTTCACCAGAGGCCCCACTGGCGAATTCTTATGGGAAACGTTTGCGGTGGCCTCCAGGGGACACTGGTGGATCCCTCGCTGGACATTCGGCAGCACGATCTGATTCCCAAGCCATAAAAGGAAAGCCCCAATTCCAAGGAGGAAAGACGCCTCCCATGCCCAGGACACGGTGCTGAAGCCGAAGAGGTGCACTTGGCCTCTTCCGCGGGGACGTGATGCCGCCAGGCCGCTGGAGCAGGAGGAGACGCAGGCGTCCCAGGGCTGAGTAGACGGGACTTCCCATTGTTGCAAGTGAACTTCCATCAATGCAGCCCAAACTCGCACTGCTGTTTTGCAGCCACATCCCATAGTTGACTCATGTTCAGTTCCCGAGCTAGAAGAATTCCAGATTCTTCCCAGGGGTAGACCAAGAATCCCTCTCTTGTAACCTTTGATTTCTTTTTCCTAGGTGAGAACGTGGCACTTGCCCCTGTTAATTTTGTCACTGCTGTTTTCAGCCCAGCGCTCCTAATCAGAAGCATTTGTTTGTCCATGGGGGCGGGGGGGGGGGGGGCAGAACAGGGCTGAACGAGGGAGGATTGCGAGAACCTCCCCAGGACCGTTTGTCTCTTCAGAGTTGCCTCTTGCGACTATCCGGAGCCGCCATTAATGAAAACGTTCCTATGTCTTGACTGCATCCTTAACAAGCAGGCTGCGAACGGGGCAGCAAGAGAGGGAGATTATAACGGATCGGGATTGTTTTGCGGTATTTCCGGCGCTCACCAGGAGCAAATCAGGCTCTCCTGCCTCCTCCCCCCGCCCCGCCCAGCTCCCCCTTCGTCTGAATTCCGTCCTGAGCCGCGTCCCCGCCGCCTTGGAGGGCGCCCCTGCCCGGGAAGCCCGGAGCACCCTTCCGCTTCCTCAGTCGAGGCTCTCCGTCTGCCGCTGCCTGGCCTGAGGGATTCTGTCGCGAAGTATTTCCCTCTCGCACAATCGCGGGTCGTACTCCGGATTCTCCAGGCACCACGTTCTCCAGCCCCGCTTTCGCGACTTTGGGACGCTTGGAAGACGCGCGGCAAGGAGAGTCTTCAGGAGGCGCGTCGAGGAGCGGATGGCGCTTCCCCGGCTTTGGGGGGCGGCCGTCCTCCTGCTGGTGGTCCCCGCGCCGCCCCTGCCTTCCGGGGCTCGCGGTGAGTCTCCGCGCGCGCCGCTTCCTCTGCGCCTGCCGCTGCCCGGGAGGGGACGCGGGCGAGGGGCGGCCCGGGTGGGCGCCGAGCGGCCGTGGGCGCTGTCGGAGCGGCGCCCCCCCTACCGGGCAGCGGCGAGGCTCCGGCTGGCGGCGGGCGGGGCTTGCCTGGAGGGGGGCTCCGGGGCGGCGCTGCGCACGGGCGGACTGCGAGGGCCACTGTGGCCCCGGGATGATGCCAAGCGGGGCGGTAGCCCAGCTGCAGCTCCTGGCCCGGTGTGTGGTGGGTCCCCATCGACGTCCCTGGGCAAGTGCGCTCGCTGTGGCAAGCTGTGGGCCAGGGAGGGGAACTGGGAGGTTCAGCCATCCACGTGCGGCCGGTCAAGCTCCTGCAGCTGGCTAACTACGCCACAGCTGCATGAACCGGTCTGCAGCTCGCATCTGGGGCCTCCCCACAGGACTCCTCTAGGGTGGCAGCATCTCTGATGGGCCGTGGTGTTTAGGGGTGTCTTGGGCTGCAGCCCCCTAACTCTGCCGCCTCCCCTTGCCCTCTGCAGCCGCCTCCTCCCACTCCCTGCGCTATTTCTACACGGCGGTCTCGGAGCCCGGCCAGGGGCTGCCCCAGTTCGTCCAGGTGGGCTACGTGGACGACCAGCCCATCACTCACTATGACAGCAGCACCCGGAGGAAGAGGCCAGCGGTGCCCTGGATGGGGAAGGTGGGCGAGGACGATGCCCAGTACTGGGAGAGGGGCACCCGGAAATTGCACAGCGATGAGCAGGCGTTTCGAGAGAGCCTGGCGACTCTGCAGGGATACCACAACCAGAGCGGGGGTGAGTGGAGCGCAGGAGTGGGGGGCAGATCCCCCTCCCATGTTTGTCCTTTCCAGGGGCAGGGAGAGGTGAGTGTGTGGGCCAGGAAGAAGGGGAAGGGGAATGGGGAAACCCCACCTAGGACAGCAGCTCCTTCCTCCTCCCTACAACTGGGGGATGCGGTTCCTGTGGGGTAGCAAGATGCCTCCCCTTCACTGGAGGAAGGATCCAGAGCAGGGGCATCCTGGGCCCCAGGGAGCCTGCAGGGCCGCTTGGGGGAGAGCTCCCCTCCCCAGATGACAGCCACCTTCCCTCGGGGAGGGCAGGAAACGGGCCGTGCCTCCCGTTCCCGCCGCAGCTGTGAGGGGAACTTCAGGGACTGGCAGGGGGTGGCCCCGGCCCCACCCTTCGGAGGGCTCCTTGTGGCGATTTCTTTCTTGCCTTCCTGACATTTTTTCCCATAGAGGCAAACCTTATGAACAACACTGCCAGGTAGAGACTGAGACCAGCCACAAACTTCCAAAACATACACAGAGTGTTTTATAGGTTTTGAGTCACATACACAAGCGGGGCAGGTGATGATGAAATAAGGGGAATGCAGTGAAAAAGAATGCGAGAGGCTTCGTGCAGTAGCGCTGATTACAAGAGACTGGCTTAATGATCTCTGAGGCACGGGGATTCTGGTGCACATGACATGCAAATGAGGGCGATAGCAAGAAACCTTGGGAGCCCCATTCTGCAAAGGCTTTTCCGGCACTCCTCCCCCCCCCCCGTCCCAGGATGGCTGTCTCTTCCTCGGGGGGCAGGGAAGGCCAGAGTTCCCCCCTCCCCAGGATGCAAAAGTGGCCACCTAACCCTGCAGGGGTCAGGCTGGGGGGAGGTGGGAGAGCAAAGCCCCAGAGCTTCTTGAAAGGGAGTTGGGGGTCCTTGTGATTGGCAGGATCCCCAAGGGAACTGCAAAGCTTCCTTGAGAGGTGGCATGTGAGGAGGGGAGGACCAGGGGGGTGCCTGGGGGCATCAGTTGGCGCAGGTGAGGGGACACATAATGCGGGAGTGGGGAGTTCCAGATGTTAGGTGCCACTCACGATTTGTGTGTCCTGAGCGAAGGCTGAGCAGCAAAAGTTGGCTTGCTTTGGTTTTTCTCCCAGGATGCACATGGACTGGGGGTGTCCTGCCCTGAGTCTGGGGCAAATAACCCAGGTAGAGGGCATCTGGGGGGAGCGACCCCCATCTGACCCCTCCACATGACCCTTTCAGGCCTCCACACCCTGCAGTGGATGTTCGGCTGTGAGCTGAGGAGCGATGGGAGCAAAGGAGGGTACATGCAGTTCGGCTACGACGGGAGGGACTTCCTCAGCCTGGACAAGGAGACCCTCAGGTGGACGGCAGCCGATGCCACAGCCCAGCTCACCAAGCGGAAGTGGGAGAAAGACCCTGCCATTGCTCAGGGATTCAAGGTCTACCTGGAGGAGACCTGCATTGAGTGGCTGCAGAGATACCTGGAGTACGGCAAGGAGACCCTGCAAAGGACAGGTGTGTGGGGAGACGGCGGTGCCTTGGGGGGCAGTTTTCTTCCCTGCCCTGGATCATCACTGGACAGAAGAGCAGGAAGGGGGCAGGAGCATACCACGAGAGAGAGAGAGAATGAGAGAGAGAGAGAGAGCGCATTTCTGCATGATCCTAACCAGTCTGATAAAAAGTTTAACACTCCTGCTGAGTGTTTCTGAGCAGGAAATTATTTTTCCAAATAATTGGAAAAATTTGGAAACCCTGACCTGCTATTCAGATGTGCCTCCGTCCTGCCCATTGCTGGACAGATTCTGCTGGCGGTGATAACACCCATTTTGCCCATTTTGTAGAGCCTCCCACAGTGAGGGTGACTCGCCACAAGTCATCCACGGAGGACGTGGAAACCCTCGTCTGCCGGGCCCACGGTTTCTACCCCAAGGAGATCGAAGCCGCCTGGACCAGAGCCGGGGAGAGCCGGGAACAGGAGACCTTCCGTAGTCGTGTGGCCCCCAATCCGGATGGGACTTACTACATCTCACTCTACACTGACGTAGAGCCCGAGGAGCGGGGCCTCTACCGGTGCCGTGTGGCCCATGCCAGCCTGTCGCAGCCTCTGGCCTTGGCCTGGGAGGGGCCTGCGGGTTTGAGACGGCCGAGGAAGGGAGAAGGCACAGATCGGGGTCTGGGTTCTGGTAAGCTGAGTTTTCCCCGGAAAGACGCAGGAATCCGAAGCAGAGCCGCACGTGTGGTTTGGGGTGCAAAGCAAGGTATGTTATGGGGAGGGAGGTGTGATTCCTGGCAGGAGAGCTGGAAGATTGGCCCTTGGAAGGAGCGGCTCCCTCGCTGACTGAACTCACTGCAAGGACGTGGGTGTTTCAGCCCCGGGATGCCCAAAGTTAGAATGGCTGCAGATGGCAATGTGATGCCTTTTTAAAAAATAAAGAGTCATACAGGACTGCATAGATAGAAGAGTCTGGGTGGGAATAATATGTGGCCTGGGGGGGTGCATGACCTTGCATGGCCCCCCCGGTGCTGCTGCCCCCGCCTTGCTGAAATTTGGCGGTGGCCAAAACTGTGGCCAAAGTGTGTGCAGTTTGCCAGCAAAAGGAAGCTCCAGTGACTCCAAGTGGCCATTTAACCCTTGCTCTCCTTTTAGAGGGTGTGGGGCCCACTGTGAGCCTCAGGGATGTCGTCATCATCATCATCGTCGTCATCGTCGTCATCATCGTCATTCTCATCATCATCATCTGCATCCGTAAGTGAACTGGGGGTGCATTTGCAGGGCTGCATCTTCAGGAGTGTCACTCAGTTGGTGGCCCACACTAAGAGGGTGGATCGTGGCCCCTCCATGCGGGAGGCAGCCCCAAAAGGCGCCTCCCTGAAAGTAGCTTTACGAGCAGGAGCAGGGAAAGACCTGAAGGAAGGCCGTGGGTCGCTGCCCCCTGTGCGGGAATGGCCTCCCGGTGTCCACCCATGTTGGAGAGGAACCCCCAGGACAGCAGCGGCACCCCAAAGTCCACCAGCCACCACAGCGCGCCTTGAATCAGGCTCCCTATTTTCTCCCCTGGGGTCCTGCCCAATAGTGAACCTGTGAAGTCCGGAACAGAAGGCCCAAATCCCAGGGGCTGGAAGGCACTGGAGTGTCACCGGGTTTGGCCTCTCTTGTCCACTGCCAGGATTTTCAGCAGGATCCTCAGTACATTTAACTTTTAGGGAAGGTTTGGGGATGGTTCTGAATTTTAGCAGTCTATTTTACTGCAGTTTTAAGGGGCTGCTTCCTTCCCCCCTGTTTGCTCTGGCTGTCCCTGGATTCTGTGGCAACCCTTCAGCACTTCCAGGCAGTCCAGCGCATGGCATTGCAAATCCTCTGCATATTTGTTCTGGAAAAAACAGATTTCCAGTGTCCTGTCTGTGGATCCTGTCTTAAATTGCTCCTGAAGTCGGCCAAGAAGAGACTTAAGAAGGATATGACTGGGGCCTTCTATGTTCCAAAAGGCTTGGATCATTGGGAAAGGCAGTGTTTCTCCAGGGTCTCTTCCAGCTCTAATTGTCGGATTCTGTCTTTGCAGAAAAACGACGAGCCAATGAGGTCCACAAGCCACAATTACGTGAGTATTGTCTGTGACCAAATTAAAGCAATGCCTTCCTTCAACCTTCTGTCAAAGTCGAGGGGGAAGCATCTGCCCCTGTGGAGAGATGGATCCGAACGGGAAACCTCCCCTCGGTCCCTCCCTTTTGGGGAAGTGTCTGCCTCCACCCTCAGCGCAGCTTGTACTGCTTGAGGTCAAGTCAGTGGGATTGGCACAGGCCCTCTTACTGGGCAGCCGGTTTCTCCCCTCGTCTCCCAGCTCGGTCAGGGACCAGTTCCCACCTCTGCCCCCCTTCCCATCCTGCAAATCCTCCCACCCTTTCCCAAGCAGGCTGGTGCACTCGCTCAGCCTGGGGAAATTCACTGGGCGACCCGGACCCCTGGAAGTCCTGCCCCCTCCCCTCGCTCCGCCGCCTTCTCCTCGGAATCAGACGATTCGCCCTGAATGATCCGCGGTGGGCGGGCGATGGGTCCACTGGCTGCAGCAGCACAGAGTGAAAACACGGAGAAACCCTTTGCAGTGCCTTCCATGTCAGAGACCGAAATGAACCCCTTCCAGTCTGTGGGAGAATATACTCAGTGCATATTTTAGCAAAAGGCTGGGCAGCCCTTACTTGTCATTGGAACAGACACGGAACAGATGAGTTCACAATTCACAAAACTTCATACTTAATGAGTAAGGACTGTGACTGGTGAATGTCTAGAATGGGCAGGTTCACACAAGACGACAAGCTGCGGGGGTTTCTTGTGCAGGAAGGCATCGCCTTACCCCAGACATACAGTTCACACAACCCAGTAACCCTCACGCAAACCATGGTTTCTTAACTACACAATCCACAGTTCACAACCCAGCAGCAAACTAGGTGCTATTTTTATAGGGTGTTTATGGTTAACAGGTGGCTGCAGGTGGCGCAGTGGTTTAAACCACTGAGCTGCTGGGCTGGTTGATCGAAAGGTCGCCGGTTCGAATCTGCACAACGGGTGAGTTCCCGTTGCTCCATCCCAGCTCCTGCCCACCTTGCAGTTCGAAAGCATGTAAAGGCAGGTAGATAAAAAGGTACTACTTCGGGGGGCAGGTAACAGCGCTCCGTGCAGTTCGGTGTTTAGTCATGCCGGCCACGTGACCACGGAGACCGCCTGCGGACAAACACTGGCTCCCTCGGCCAGGAAACGGAGATGAGCACCACCACCTAGAGTCAGGCATGGCTGGACTAAACGTCAAGGGGAAACCTTTACCTTTACGGTTAACAAGCCATATTCATCCCCTGAATGTAGGTTTTGAATTTTCTGAATCCATTTGGTGAGATGGCTTCTTGGATCCCGTCTTCCTCGGGTGGCGAGGCGTACGCCCTGTGGATGGGTGCAGGGGAGTGGGACTGGGCACCATCTCCAAGGGAAGCCGCCTGACACAGCCCACAGGGAATGTTCCCCAAGTTCCATTTTCCCCGGCTCCAGGGCTTCCAACAAGTTGCACACGAGACTGAGAATTTTCGCCCACTTTTCTTGCTGGTCTGTGGTGCAGGGGTGGAGAACCCCCAGATGTTCACAACTCCCATCAGCCACAACCATTGCTAGCCTGGGCTGATGGGAGTCCAGCTGCATCCGGAAGCCATTTCCTCCCTCCTTCCATGGACCATCTCTTCCCCTGTCTCCTTGATGAGTGGATTGCACAAGGCATCTTAACGAGAGCCATATTTGGGGTCGAAGGAAGGATTTCTCTTCTGGATTGGTGGGTTTGGTTTTCTTCTGGATTTCCTGGATCAGGCCAAAGCAAGCAGCTTAGGAACATTTTACCATCTGCTCCGAATGTCTGTATTGCATTATATTTCTATCTGACCGGGTTTTTTTCCTTGTGCGGGAGCCAAGGCAGCTCACGAAGCTCCATTTTTTATCTCACAGCAACAACCCTGTGAGGTAGGTCTGGCTGAAAGAAAAGAGCCTGGCCTAAAGTCACCCAGGCTGAATGGGCACTTGAACCCAAACCTCCCAGGGCCCCAGTCCTGCCCTTAGATCCCTACGTCACCTGAGTATCTATAACCGTGTGATGAGTTTTGGCTTAGCTGGCCAGAAATGAGGGTGAGGGAGAGATGAGGAAACACCCCCATTGCCTCACAGACGTCCAAACATACTGACCGTTCTTATTTTTCTCCTTTCCAGGAAAACTCCGAGAGGCCAACATTTCAGCCAGAGTAAGTCTGAGGGAGTCCCTTCCCGAGGGCAGGAGCTTGGCCTCGCTTCAGGCTGCTGGAGAAAGGAAGCCACCCATTCAGTTTGGTGGTCCCCCCACCCAACTGCTTTGGGAATTCAGCTCAGTTCATCAATGTTTATAAATGTTCATAAATGTCGTCAGCTAGGTGTTCCCTCTCCAGCAAGACAGACTCTCCAGCTCTCCAGCATTTCTTGTCCACAGAAGCCTCTGAGCATACACAAAGTGAGATGTTGAACCCTCCTTGCCGCCCTCTACTCAGAGCTTTACTTATGAACCCTCTGGGGCCGATCTCTGGAGGGAGGGGAGCTGTGGAACCGGGTGCACCTGCGTTCTGCACTCGGAGCCCCTAATTGGGCCGGCCGGTGGCTGTGATGACGGGCCCTCCGGTCCACATCTTCAGGAGGCTGGCGCTCTCCATCCGAGAGGCCATCCATTTCCAATTCTCCTCCGCCAGGATGTTTTGGTCCTTCTTTCCCACAGGCAGGGAAACTGGGTCTCCCGGGTGTCCTTGAGCGACTTGCACCCAGAGCAAGCGCAGGCTCGGACTGGTACTGAGAGGTTGCGTCCGCAGGTGCAGGCCTGCCCGTTACAGTTCCGTTATCAGAATTTGAGCTCTGAGCCTCGTTTGGTTCAGCCAGTTTCCCATCATCCTCAGACTCTGAGCTACCAGTCCCACCAAAACCATCAGCTTCTTGTGTGGACCTGGGAATCTCTCCAGATTCCCAGTTCCACGACAGGTAAATAAAAAGACAATTGTTTGCATTCGTGCTCCGGTTGCTTGCAAGATCCTCTCGAAGCCTCTGGATCTTGGGGCACTCATCCTGCCTGAGAGCAGCTCAGAACAGATTAAACCAGCCTGGTTAACTCTTTCCGTGAAGATGGTGGGCCCACCTCTCCTCTGCTCCCTCCCCCACAGCCTCTGCTGGCCCCTCCCTCCTCCATCACCAGACCCTGCCCAAATTCCCTACACATTTTCTGCTGGGCTGCCTGTCCCTGAGCTTGAGCCTCTCCTGGGAATAGGCAGGTGTGACCTAGTGGGGATCGCAGAAGCATGGAGGGGTGATAAGCCGGACTGGAATGTCAGCACTGAGGGATGAGCTCTGTTGAGGAAGAGGTGAGGGATAGTGCTATATGTGAAGGGTGCAATGAGATGGGGTGTGAGATAGAAGGGGAGCAGGTAAGATTTGATGGGTCTAGATGGGGGATAGGGACTGGGCGGTGGGGGAATGTTACCACCCACCTGGTCAGCGTGAGACCCTGGACAATGCTCTGATAGGTCAGATTGGAAGGATATCCCAAGGGAGGGACACGGTCATCATGGGAGAGTTCAGCCACCCTGGTCTTAGTCGGGAGACGCACTCAGTGACGGCGTCGAGGCCCCGTCGCTTGCCAGAAGTTATGGAGGGAGGGTTTTTCACCCAGAGGGTCCAGGAGGTGATGGGGGAGCAGGGAGAGACGTCTTAGACTTGGTTTGACCACAGGGAGGATCTGGCAGATGATGCGCAGACTGGGGGAGCTCTGGACATGAGTGGCCACTCCATCCCGTGCCTCGAGATCAGGGGAGCGGGGATGGGCAGTAGGTCAAGGGCAGGGGGGAAAGGGATCTGTGGGGAGGAGGGCCCCACTGCCAAAGCCACTCCACCAGTTCTCCTTTTCTGCTCCTTCCGCAGCGGACAGTGAGTCCTCGGTTGGCACCAAGAGTAAGTGTGCACATGATCTGGGGAGACGGGTTTCGACGTCCACCTCAAAGATGCTCCTCATGGAGAGACCCATCGCGGTGACTTAACCGCCACCCCTCTGTTGTTTGTTTCTGCACACGGTTGGACAAGGGGTAAGAGCCCGGCCCAGTTTTGCTGTGAATTTCCTTTGTGAAGAGCTCCTGCTGGCCCTGGCTGCTTGCTTGGCCTCATCCTGCCTGTCACGCAGCAGCTGTGTCTCCAAATTTGGCCTGGACATGGGAAGGAATGCTGTGTTCGTGAGCTTGGCCTAACACAGGAATGTGTATATTGATCTGAACTGTGCCAAGTGTGTGCCGTGGAAGTGAGAGCGTTGACAATGGACCGGGATATGCAGTTCTATGGGATTCCTTCTAGCCGCCCCCTCCCTGTGGAACGCCTTCCCAAAGGAAGCTAGCCTGGGGGCTTCCTCTCAGTTTTTGACAGGATGTAAGTTTTGTCCGGTTCTGGGTGGCATTTCGCTGCTTCCAGAGCATCCCTGGGGGGCATTTTGGCAGAAAACCCCACAGCATCTCTCCTGGGGAGGTTGTGAAGGACAGACCCAAGTTTCCCCCGGATATGTCCACACATGGATTTCGGAAGGAGGCAGTTCTCTGACCCCAGAAGTCAAGACTCTGCGGGGGCCTCTTCATGTTCTTGTAAAACGGGATAAAAAGGGAATTTGCTTTTAACTCGGGGCTCCATTTTGCCTTCTTTGTACACGGAGACCTTTCTCTGCAGAACTAACCTTTTCCAACCTTCCCCCGGAGCGCTTGACCGGCCACTGCACGTGCCAGGGCCAAATCCCACTTTTGTGGACAACAATTTTGGCACCCGCCGTGGGGCAGCCCCGCCTTGGTTACACCGGGCAGTGGTTCTGTGGGGCCCAGCAGCAGGCTCCCGGCCAGCGCGGGGCCTCCTGCCCCCGGAGGGGGAAGTCCTTGGCTGAGTGCGACGCCATCTTGAGTGTGAGGCCGGGGTTTGGGGATGGGCTGTCGAGTTGGGGGACACCTTTTCTCCCATCAGGGCTTCTGTTTAATTATTGTAAGCTGTCCTGAGACATTTTATTGGGAAGGGTGGGGTAAAAATGTTTTCAATAAATAAATAATTTGGGTTTGGGATCTGCAAGAGAGGCCTCCCTATGGCTCAGGCAGCCATAGGGCACTAGACGGGAGTTGCGCTCCGAGGAGGGATGGGCTGCGGATCAGGCAAGAGGGAAAACGCCCCTGCAGTGCATTCCATGATTTGGGGGAAGGAGGGGGGGATACCTGACCAAGGAGAAATGGGGTTTCCTTTGTGCAAACGGTGGCCCTATTGAGCTTGATGTGGGGAATGGTCCTTGGAGGGAGGGGAGCTTTAGGCATGTACTGTCAAAGCCAATTGCTGTGATGGCTGTAAACAAAATGGGTAAATGGCTGGACATGAGTCTCGTATGTTGGCTGAAGGGGGTTGGAGTGGGGGAAAAGACTTGGATGGGAAAGACTCCGGTCAGGAGGGAAGAGGGAGCTTCTGCCAGACCAGGAGGGCATTGGCTGCTTGGAAGGGGAGCTGCTAAAGTGTTCGTAAGAAGATGTACAGTTAAAAGAGAATCTGATCTCTTGGCAGTCTATTCTCTGTTCTCTTCAGAGATGCACTCAGTTGAAGGAGCCACCAGCCTTAAATGGGGCTGGTGACTAAGCGGTCCGTGCCCTGGGGTGCACATGCCCAAAATACACAGCGGGATTTTTTTTAAGGATTTATTCTCAAGAATAAGCAGTTGCCGAGGAAGCATTCCAGATGACGCGCTTGAGCAGTCCTCAGCTGGCCCTTCGATAGATTGATCATCAAAGTGTCACACGCAACACAGTTAACACTTTCCAACGGGTCAGAGAAGTGAAAAGTTGCAATGGCGCAATCTTTCCTGCTTGCAAACCAAGGAAGATGCTCTGGAGGGGGTAGGAGGACGGGCTGTTCATTCGTGGAGGGGGTGGGGGACGGGGGTGTAGCTGTGGACTGCCCTTCGCTTGAGCTGCTGTGATCTGTCGAGGGCCAACCGGCTCTCTCTGGACTGGGGCCTGGTCAGTGCCAGCTGCATTTCAAGGACGAATCAATTCATGCTGGTTTCCAGAAAAGAGGGTTTTTTCTGGCCTGGTTATGTGTCAGTGAGTGCAGGATTTAACCAATGAAAGATCTACCGATTCATCTGGACGTCACCGGGAACCCACCACACCGTCAAGAGGAAGCAAACCTTGAGAGAACGGACCCTGCTCAGATCTTCTGATACGAAGCATCGGCAAAGCAGCACCATGACCAGAGGAATAAGACTCAAGACACCTTCTGGGGTATCCAAGGGCAGTGCAACATGGATGCCTTCCCTCACGAGGAGCGGATGGTCCCGAGCCCAGAGGGCCCTTCTCCTGCAGGACGCGCCAAACCTCCGTGGGATGTCCCTGCGCCCCAGTTCCTTCTCGGCAGGGTCCTGTCAGCTGGAGGGCTGCCCTCAGTCTCACTGGGGTGCCTGCCGGGGGTGGAGCTGAAGGCAAAAGGGGGGGGCATGGGAACATGCAGGCTGCCTGCCCAGGGCAGCAGAATGGTCCTCCCGCCCATGAACGGTCTGAGGAGACACTTGTCCACCTGGACACTCCGTGGGTGGCTATTGGGATAGGCAGATGGGGAAGGAGCCCCAGAGGAATCCAGTGGGAAAACAAGAGCTCGGGAGCTCAAGTGGCCCTCCTTTGCCCACAGAGTACCAGATCCGGCACCCTGCTTTGAAGCAGTGACCTTTTCCCAGGGCCATGGGGGTGCAGCCGTCCTCTTGGACCTCCTGCCCTCCAGAGGGTCCGACTATGGATCTTCTGAACTCTTGGCCTTGGTGGCTGAGGGTAAGTGGAGGCTCCAGACTGGCCCATAGAATGCAAACCTGCTCTCTGGAGGGACTGGTTTCTGGAGCAAGTCCAGAGCTAAGCGTGGCTGAGCCGGTATTTGGCCCATCGGGGTGCTAAGGGGGTTCTGAGGGCATCCCTCTGGGTGGATGCCTCCGTCTCCTGCCCTCCATGCCTCCCCAGAGGAGAATGGAGCACCTGAAGCAGCAACCTGCCCCTCATCCCCTGTTCTGCAAGATTCTGCCCATCACACGCTCGCACATTGCTTTGGCGGGCCGCCTTCAGGCGATCTTTCTCTTCCAAGACAATTGTGATTCCTGTCTGGGCTCCCCCTTCCAGCCATCCCGCTCCTGGCCTGGGAGAGGCTGGTTCTTCTGGGGGAAGGGGGTGGCTGGGGGAGAGCCGCCACCCAAAGGTGGGCCTGGGAAAGGGGGTGGGCTCAGGGTCCTCCCCGCACCCTTTCCCCAGGCCCTTGGATGAGGCCAGGCTGCTCCCACGCCTTTCAAGGTGAGGAATGAAGGCTGTGTTACACACGGGCAGGTCAGCCTGGGCACCTCGGCCGGCTTCGTGGCCCAACAGGAGAGCCTTGCGGAACCCGGGAACGAAGCCACGGGCAAGGTGAGAAGCACGCCTTCCTGGCCCACCCCCCGGGAAGAGCCTGGAAATCACCCAGGAATCGCACACGGCCCGTTGGTCTGCCCCGCTTTGGTCTCGGGGACAAGAGCCCGGACCACGAAGGGGGGGGGGGAACGGCGCCGAGATGGGTCCCCCTGAAAGGCTGCTGGAACGTCCCACGCATTTTGGCACGTGGGCCTTCCGCACCCACAACTGGGATGCAGCCTCCCGACGGAGGTGAGGAGAGGCCTGCGTTCCTCGGAGACGGCAGATCTCGCGCAAGCGGGGAAGGAGCTGCTGGGGCACCTCTTCCACGGGAGGATGGGATCCTGCATCCAGCAGGAACGTGAAGCCTCATTATGGCCTTGTCCACTGAGTCACAGGGGGCCACCCGGCGCCCAGAAGGACCAATCGTCCCCAGCACCATTCTGCATGGCCACCGCTGTGCCCAACTACACACTTTCCATCTTGCTTGAATGAGCCACGGAATAACGGAGAGGGTGCTACAGGAGATTTAAAACGGTTGTGAGAAACGAGGCATGAGCAAAAATGGTTGCTACTGCCAAGAAAACCCCCTGAGGCAAGAGGCCCACTGGGGCGAGCGCCAGCCTGCGTGCACGGAAGGCAGAGTGCCTCCACCACTACGGTGGGGCCACCCCTGGGCTGCAGACCTGGAGGGGAGGCAGCTACCCCAGGGCCCCCTTCTCCTGGGAGCCACTGCCCTCCTGCTGGGGGGCTGATTCAGTAGCTCCTGTGGGGGCTCAAGTGGGAGGACCTGTACCCAGTCAAGCAGACAGCTGGTTTTGCCTTTCCTGGACCAGCCGGGAAGTGGGGCCAGCCAGACCCCTTGGCAAACCCCTATCCCGTTCCCCGGCTTGTGTGCTTAGCAAGCCATCTGTGGCAGGGAACACTTCGTTGTCTTCCTCTCACATGGTGCACAATGCTAGCACCCCCCCTCCCCAAATTGCATGGTTAACAAGTCAAGGAAGGGGATTCCACATTTCACCCGGCGACATGATGCTGCTTCTCTGAATTCCAGGTTGACTCTGGGGACAAGGGTCCCGATGACTTCCTGCTACTCCAAGCCTTTTCCGGAGCTTGGTTGCCTTTGCCCTGCCTGGAATGTGAACCCCCAGAGCTTTTTCTTTCTCAATCGGCAGAAATCCTGTGCAGAAAGCAGCAATGACAACCCCCTGCGGTTCCAGCTCTCTGCTGCATGTGTGGGTCGAGATGGGCTGGCCCTCGGCCCGGATGGCGTGTGTGCTGCCTGCTCCACAGAGGTTTCCAGAGAGGCAGGTGTGCGGCACTCCCACAGGTGACCCCCACCTCCTTCTGGGCCAGTGCACCCCAAAAGGGCTCCCCTTTCCATGGCCCATGTGCCCCAGGTCAGGCTGCCGAGTCACAGGAAAGGCCTCTCACAACCCTGGCAGCCCCCACAGCTGACGGCCAGCTCGGTCCTCTTTCCCTGCCCGAGTGGTGACCGGCCTCGTTTAGAAATGCTGCCCCTCCAAGACGGCAGATTCCCCCAAAGGAACGTGCCCCACACCCCCCTCTTGGCACACGGCGAGCAAGACTAATTCTTCACTGGAGCCTTTAGGGCAGGATAAAGGCGGAAATTTGGATAAATATGGTGCCGTAGGGTCCAAGCTACGCCTGCCACGCACTGTGCAGAGGGGCCCCTCCCTGTCCGGGGCAGAGGGCCATGGAAGCGGCCCAAGGGGAGCGCAGCTCATCCCCTCGCATCCACTTGTGAGGACTTCTCACATATCCGGAACGACTGGGGGAAAGCCTGGTGCAGTGGTGACGAGCGCGGGGCTGGGACTCGGGCGACCCGGGTTCTAGTCCCCGCTCAG